GTACTGTTGAAGTAGTTCAAGCTCCTCAAATATAGTGTATTCTACAACTTTTGATTTTTTGTTGTTTTGTTTCAATGTTATTTGTTTCCTTTAGGGATTCAATGAAAGTACTCATATGAAACAGGTTTCCCTGTATAACGTGAGATGTGTCCGGCCTGGTCCAATTTATTATGCTTGGACCTTCTTGCGTGTGCAGTAAAATTTGAATAGCTATGTGGCTCCTTTAGGCATTAGATCGACACAAGACTTGATCGAATGAATTCCGTTGTTCTGGTCTATTTGAATAGCTATGTGGCTCCTTTAGGCAGTAAAATTTGAATAGCTATGTTCTGGTCTTTTTAACTGCTTTAGTCTCTTTTAGTCACCTAAACCAAACACCCTAGGATCTTTGTTGTTCCCTTGTTCTCGAAGTCATTAGCAGAGGAGTAAATAAAGTTCCATTTGATGTTATGTCACATTGCATTTGATGTATCTTCCTTATGTTGGGAGTTGGGAGTTTCTTACATGTCAGGCACATCCAAACGAGGAAGAAACTATGGAGGATACTATCAGACGTGACCAAATGTATAGAGGTCAGACTTTCTTACGCGTGCAATAACATTTCAATACCAATGACTACTTAGCTCTGTATTGGACTGAGGCGAGACTTGCTCCTCACTGCAAGGTTCTTGCATGTTCAACAAAGATTGATAAAGACACCAAGGCAACAAAAAATCAAACAGAAACCAAACGACCTGAGCTACTCCACGCTCAACAGAGTTCAACCCACCTAATACAAAGTACCACACCCCACAACCAATGAGCAATGAGAAGTTTGCATGGTTTGGTGGTGTGGCTTGGCTACATCACGTCAATGCAACGGGCCGCGAGGCGACGTCCCTGTTGTAATAGGCTGCTGACGCCACCTGCATGCTCGCGTCTGTGTGGGAATGCAGGAGCACGCAAGCAGTCATGACAGTCGATGGGCAGACTGAAGGCTGAAGACTGACAAGTTACAGACTGAAGACTGAAAGCAGTCATGAAAATAAGACGAGTTGGGTTCAACACAGATCAAAGCCACTCATGACTACTACTACTACTACTGAACCAGGGGTCATTTGGTAGCCGGTTTCTAGCCCCTGTTGGTTGGTTTTGCCTGCAGGTTTCTTTTTGGTTCTCTTTCTGATATGTTGTGTGGTAAACATGCATAACGGAATTCATCCGATCCAGTCTCGCGTAGATCTAATGCCTAATGGAGGAGCCACATAGCTATTCAAATTTTACTGCGCACGCAAGAAAGTCCGAGCAAAGTAAATCTGACTGGGCCGAACACATCTCACATTATATAGCCAAACCTATTTCATACTAGTACTTTCGTTGAATCCCTAGAGGAAACAAATATAATTGAAATAAAACAACTGAAAAGCAAAAGCAACAGGAAATCAAAGGTTGCAGAATACACTATATTTGAGGACAAATTTCAAATGTCAGAATACACTACATTTCAAGATGGAGGGAGTAATTCACTCTCGCACGAAAAGAGTGAATTACTAGTCTATTATTCCAAATTCACATTTGAAAAAATGGATTTCTTGATGAAGCCTATAGTCCTCGATGCAATACACAGCCCTTTCTTCCCATCCGTCTACATCGCCGCAACCACCACCTACATAAGGAAGATCGCCGCGCACCTATGTCGGCGGTGGCAGCGACAACCGTCCCCACGTCATATTGTAGATCACCTTGACGGCCAGGCGGTGACTACATAGATCTATCCACATCGTCGAACAAGTGGATGAACTAAAGAGGAAGACTGAAAAGACTAAAAGAGAGTTTGAGGAGTTCAAGATACAGCAACAGGAGGAGTACAATAAGCTATGTGAGGATATCATGCGCTTCAGCTCTTCTTTTGGTAACTCTTAGTCGTCAACTATGTTGGCTTGATGCAGTGAACATTTATGGTTTGATGTGTGTACTCAGAGCTGCTTTGATGTGGTGAAACTATCAGCGGGTTGCTACTGATGTGTAAACAGTAATTTGTTGTACTTGATTGTCATGCATAATAATTATGTATACATCGTCGAATAATTATGTAGTCAATCTGTACAGCAGAGACGATCTTGAATTAGTTTTATGATAAATTGATTGTTGGGCACATGGTAGAACCTAGGCAGGCCACGTGATCAAATAAAAATGCAACATGTGGACAAACCAGTGCATGACATGTGAAATAGCCATGGCACGACACCTGGGCTAATAAAAATTCGACACATAGAAGGAAGCCGTCAAGCCATGTGGCTGAATCAAAAAATGAAACATGGATGGACAGCACCGTGACACGTGGTCGAATATGAAATGGCCACATAGACCAATAAAAATACGACACATGGTCCAATGTAGAAATGACACGTGACCCAACCACAACACGACATGTGTGCCAATAGAAAATAGACATGTGGAACAACAGGGGCCCAACATGCGGTCCATTAAGAACCTGAAATGTTCAAGAACCAGAGATGGCCACGTTCTCCAATAACAAGATGACACGTACCTGAACCATCTTCAATGCAGCCGGCTATAGCAGGTACATGTGGAAAGCATGTCCAACGGAAGAAACCACCTATGTGGATGCCCCCTGCCACGCATGCCAAAGCAGTTCTATGACGTTTAGTTTTCATCATAGATCTATCCACATCTATGACAAATTTCTAAAATCATCATAGAATATCAAGAATGACGTGACTTCTATGACAAACCGTTTTTCGTCATAAATTCATCATAAAACTAAAATTATGACGAATTTGGCTCCTTCAATGACGAAAGTTGTTCGTCATAGAACTAGATATTCCTAGTAGTGTGCTGGACTACTCGAGTAGAAGCATGACCTAATCTATGGTGCCACAAGGACACGTAGGGCTTGGTGGCGCTGAGCACTTGCTTATTCTGGACTCCCTTCGGAGGGTAAAGATCGTCTTCACATCTGCCTTGGAGGAGCGTCCTCCTCATTTCCTGATCATTAACAAAAAAATGATCAGGGTGAAATTCAAAAAAGACATTATTGTCATGTGTAAGATGATTAACAGTAGGGGAACATGGAGAACATGATTTAGATGAAGAGTACTAGTAGGGGAATGCAAAATACTAGATCCAATATGTCGTACACCCATACCTGATCCAGTGGCAGTGTGAACTTGGTCATGGCCGCCATACTTCTCACGAGTAGTGACCTTCTCCAGTTCGCTGGTCACATGATCCGTCGCATAGGTATCCATGTACTAGTTTGTATCTATCCCATAGGAGGTGGCTAATGCAGCACTTTTCTATAGCCGGACTATAAAGGTAGCGTCAAACCTCTTGAAACTGCGAAGCACGATGTGGCCCTCCTTGTTGCAGAGCTGGCAGATGAGTCTAGATGTGGCGCCACCCTAACCATGTCCACCACCACGACCACCAGTCTTCTAGCCACGCCCACCGCTACGGCTGCCACCACGGCCACGCGATGGACCACCACCGCGACCACCTCTAGTGGCCATGTTCACAGAGGAGTTGGATCCCCCGCCATGAAGGACCTCGTTGCATTGCTCAAAACTCACGGTCTAAGTATAGAGCTCGCCCACCATGATGAGCTCGACCCTTGCCATAACAGCAGACATGATAGGGTTGTAGTCGACGTCGAGACCGGTCAGAATGTATGTTCATCCTCGAGATGCCTACCTACAGACGCCATTTCATCTACAAGGCCCTTCATTTTGGTGAAATATTCACCGATGGAGGATGCCCCATTGGACGCCGTCGCAAGTGCCATCCTTGTGCTAATAATTCTAGCATAGCACTGAGATGCAAACACCTCCTCAATCATAGCCCAAGCTGCTGTAGCAGATTCAGCCGACGAGATTTGACCAAGGATTTCCTTGGATAGCGAGGACGAGATGAAACTGAGGGCCTGTTGGTCCTTGGCAATCCACGGATCGTAATCCGGGTTAGGTTTGGGTTCGACCTTTTTGTCATCGCCGGCATCGAGAAATGGTGAGGGCGGTTTGGTGGTGGGGCTAATGAAGCTAGCGAGTTGGGCGCCCTTGATGGTAGAAAGGACTTGTGCCTTCCATAGAGGATGATTGCTGCGAGTGAGCTTCTCGCTCACGTAGAAGCCGATCGATGGAGCAGCAGGCGCTGCGGAGGAGGAAAAGGGGAACCCGTGGAACACCATGGGAAGTTTCCATGAGGATAAGGGCTCTGATACCATGTGAAAGTGGAGGGAACAGGATGTCTTCCCTAGGCTCTCGGTTATATGTTAAATATGTGAAGAACAGCCCCATGGCGTGGCTTGTACAAGGGTCAAAGATTACAACAACTTAGACTACAAACAAGATACTAACTAACCTCCTATCTTAGATTACAAGCCAAGTAACAACTTGGATAAGGGCGCGTGGCCCATAGACTATCGCCTATCTTAACAGAAGTATATTTTTTGGGTAACAAAACAACACATGTATATACTTATATTCTACTTTTATTAGTCCACCGTTGACTAGATTGCTTGGTCCTGTGTATGGAATTCTAGCGCACAATTGGACATGCTGCCCACACCTGCCCATGATGTCCCTCTCACATATGAAAGACCTCTCAATATGTATGATCACAACTGGCCATCTGGGTAGGATAGATTCCCCAACTCTTGTGTCCCAGTTGCTGTGGTGTCGACTTTCTGAGACCCTACAGCTAGTGCAAGTGTTCCACCACGCCAGGATTTGATTTGCCGTACGCACTTGCAGTTTAAAGGATCAATCATAGATTTTGGACTGATGAACAGGGACAATCTGACTCATATATGTATGCAATATTTTGCTTTCTTTCTGTGCATGCAGGACAACCGATTCTACAGGTTGCTTTGATCAGTCTATATGGCAGAAGAGATAGTGAGTTCTGTAGTGGCCTAGGAGGCTGTTAACCATGTCTTATCAAGAATCAAGGAGGGTTATGCAGAGAAGTCAGATGCAAAGGAGCACATAGAGATGATGGAGATGGCGCAAATCAGGCTAGAAGTCGCCCTTGAGACATCCAACAAGTGGAACATCACTAGCGTGCCACTGCTGCGCTGGCAGAGCAAGCTCAAGCGTGCAACACAGGAGTGCGACCACACTTTGCGCCGGTGCAGGCAGCGATTACAAGAAGAGGAAGAAGTGAAACAAGGGCTATGGAGCTCCTCCTTTCCTAAGAGGGTCACTCAGACTGCCATGTCATTTGTTTCATCAATGTTTAGCGGTGGTAACAACGATGAGGTGAGAGGACCTACTGCTGTCTAGCGATTCGAGCGGTTTGCAGATGGTGTGACCGATTCTTGAGGTACATGGAGCTTGGTGGCACACCATGCAGATACATGTTCTCCATGCCTCTTATACGCCATCTTCTTGCTGACAAAGGAACAAAGTATTGCTTTGTTTTGCGGGGGACAACATCTCTCATTTATTCTACAGCCCTTTAGTCAACCCAACCGTGGGATGGAAGGGACCCTAGAATTCTTACTTGAAGATAGCAATGTGCTAGAGAACAATTTCATTCCTGGGATGGAAGGGACCCTAGAATTCTTACGGCTCTCTGAGAGTACTAACATAGTTGGGGTTGCAGTCAGATGCTTGCAGCTGTTCATTCCATACTTGAGCTCACAACTGAGATTGTGAAGACAAAGCTAACCCAAGTACCATTGCAAGACTTTTGCTGGGTGTTTGATGATTGTTCAATTTATGGCTGTGACGAACATGTTCACACAATGTGTTCTAAATGGTTTCGACAAAACCTATTTTGTTGTCAACAAGAAGACCATCCCCACGTCCAGAGTCCCTCTTCGGTATAGGGTCGAGATGGCGTACTAGAGGGGGGGTGAACAGTCCTTTCTAAAATTAATCATGTTGGCTAACCGTAACAAATATAGAATTAAAACTATCAGTCTAGCCAAGACTACACCCCTCTATCTAAGTTATCAAGCACCTTTAAAAGATCCTAAACAAGCAACCAAGGTGTCGGGCTAGCTAGAGCTCACCTAACCAATTCTAGGAGCGAGGTCACACAAACCTATGCCACTAGTACTTCAAGCATGGGGGAGCTCCTACACAACTAGTAAGCAAAAGCACAAAGCTCCTAAGCTCACTAGCAATGCACAATAACTAGGCAACTAATGCCAAATTAGAGAGCGCAAATTACTTAGCTACACAAACTAAGCAATGTGACTAACAAGGTTACTAAAACCAAATTAGCCACGCAAGGGAGCCACTTCTATGCTACACAAGCAAGAAGGTAACTAGCAAGCTACACAAGTAAACTAATTACAAGAGCAACTACACAAGCGCAATGTATATGAAAGTAAATACAAGCTTGTGTAATGGGGATGCAAACCAACAGGAAGATAAGGATGACACAGTGATTTTTCTCCCGAAGTTCACGTGCTTGCCAACACACTAGTCCCCGTTGTGTCGACCGCTCATTTGGTGGTTCATCGGTTAATTGGCATCACCCGCCAAGCCCACACGTTGGGCACCGCAAGAACCTACCCCGAAAGTTAGGGTAGCTTAATGACATGCTCTACTAGAGTTGCTCTTCGCGATCCCCGCGGGGTGAGCACAATCCCCCTCACAAATCCCCCTCTGGAGCACCGCAATCTTCTCGCATGCTTCAACGGAGTCACAAGTCACCAAGCCATCTAGGAGGTGGCAACCTCCAAGAGTAACAAGCACCACTAGCTTGCAACACGATCACCTAGTGCCACTCGATGCAACCTCACGATGCATTCGCACTAGAGTCGCTCACTCACTCAATCGGATGAACACTATCAAGCAAAAGTGAGTTAGAGGGTTCCCAAGGACCACCACACAAGCCACCAAGGCTCTAGTGTGCTTAGCAAGCAGCCCAAGGCCGGCCAATTGCTCTATTTATAACCCCACGAACAAATAGAGCCATTACCCCTTCAATGTGTTGAAAACACGTTGACCGGACGTGCCTTTACTACTGACCAGACGCACATGTCACCAGCGTCTGGTCACACCAAGGCTGCCACGCGTCCCTGCATTTGAAACTAGCCACTGCTACCAACGGCTAACTGATCCACGTGCTCTGTTAGTCACTCGACCGGACTCACTCTTCGGATGTCCGGACTCACCGCGAGCTAGCGTCCGGTCAAGTCTAGAGACGATCCAGAGACGTCAAAACATGACCGAACGTGCCAGATCAGACATGACCAGACTTGCCCCGGAGTATGGTCCTTTTCTACTGAAAACCCAGGCGACACCAAGACATGACCGGATGCTGTGAATAGTGTTCCAACAGAGTCTGGTCGAGGAACACCTCCATAGTCCGATCGCCAAGCCGAACCACGCGTCCTCTAGAACACATGACCGGACGTTGATTTCACTCACCGGACGCGCCCCTGCACAGAGTCCGATAGCCTCTAGCTGCTGCTCCAACTCTGTTCGTCAACAACCGGATGCGGTGGCCAGTGCGTTCGGTCACTCTCACACACACACAAAATCTCAACAAGAAATTCTTGCTGAGAAAGGAGAATTGCCGGTTGAGCTCAATTCTCTCTCACTGACACCTCGCTAACACACATGCAAGCATGTCCCCTTCCACTATTTATCAACAAGAATTTCTTGTTGACAAAGGAGAATTGCTTGCTGAGAATAGCACCACTAAAATCACCTTTTTATGTGCTATTTCCTCTCCATTTTCAACACCCTTGCAAATGTACCAACACCACCAAGTGTACACCACTAAGTGCAAATGTGTTAGCATTTTCACAAACATTTTTCAAAGGATTAGACACTCAACTTGCCACGCCACTCGATCCTAGCAACGATGCAAAGTTAGAACACTCGAGTGGCACTAGATGACCGATATGCAATCAAGTTTGCTCCTCTTGATAGTATAGCCATCTATCCTAAACCTGGTCATCAACTTCTCTACACACCTATGACCAGTGAAATGAAATGCCCTAGGTTATACCTTTGCCTTGGGCATTCCATTCCATGTCCTTTGATGTCGATGCAACACATGCACTAACCAATCACCAAATGATATGATCCACTTCATATCATCACATGACCGTATTGGTTTATCGATCTTGACTTCACTGTTGCCTCGGTCCATTGGTGCCAAATCATCACTCAACTTACCCTTCACACTTGTAACCGGTCTGTCGAGCCAAGTCTTGTCTTGATCTTCTCCACCTTGATCACATGACTCCATGTCATGTCTCATATGCAATGAGCTCCTTCATCACATGTGTGAGCTTTGCAACAAATCCAAGCCATTTCACCTCATGGCATGTATTGCCCACACACATATACCTGTGGACCAATCACTTGTGTATCTCACTCAAACACATATTAGTCCACCTAGGTTGTCACACAATTACCAAAACCAAACAAGGACCTTTCATTCAGAATCTTTACCATGTGGTATATACTTGGAACCAGTTATCCAAGTGTATTTGCTAGGACACGTTGCACTGCCAGCTACACTAGTAGAAAACAGACCTTTCATCCGAGGCTAAAATGGGCTTTAGTCCCGGTATTTTTTGCGCCCGGGACTAGAGAGACCTTTAGTCCCAGTTGGTGTCTCCAACCGGGACTAAAGGTCCATGCCCAACGGCTAATGCGCTCGGCACAGTGGCAGGGGACCTTTAGTCCCGGTTGGAGACACCAACCGGGACTAAAGGTGGACCTTTACTCCCGGTTGGAGCCACCAACCGGGACTAAAAGTCCTCAACCTTTAGTCCCGGTTGGTGTTACCAACCGGGACTAAAGGTAGACCCTTTAGTCCCGGTTGGTAACACCAACCCGGACTAAAGGACCCTTTAGTCCCGGTTGGTGCCACCAACCGGGACTAAAGGTCCCCCGATGGGTTAGTTCAAAAGGGAAGCATCCCATCCATTGTCAAATGTGTTGTGTAGGTGGGGTGGTAAGCTACGCGCGAGGCAATGCATGAGGTCTTGGGTTCGAATCTCACGGGACGCAACGGTGGGAGGTATTATTTTTTTTTAAACTAGGAGGACCTTTAGTCCCGGTTGGTGTTACCCACCGGGACTAAAGGTCCCCCTTTAGTCCCGGTTCCTGACCCGGGACTAAAGGACCCCCCTTTAGTCCCGGATGCTTACTCCCGGGTGGGGAACCGGGACTAGAGGTGGTTCCCCACCGGGAGTAAAGCCCGTTTCTGTATTAGTGCTAGGAACAACAGGCAGAGGACAATTGTTGATGGTGAAAGCCAAACATGCCCCACGGGAGACTTTCCATATCTGAAACTTGGAGCACACTTCTGGCCTCATGCCTCTTCTGAAGATTTGTCACCTGCTGTCAGGGGTTCAGCATCAGAGATAATCAGTGATGAAGCTAAACAACGTGGCATGTATCACATGATGTATGCAAACATTTCCTTTGAACAGCTGGGAGAGATAATGATGCCAAAAGCAGTAGATTGCCATCGCAGGAATGTGGCAGCTACCTTATATCAGATGCTGTGGAAGTCCAAGCATGGCAGTGCCTTCATTCGGGTCGAGAAGACCTCATGGAGAGAATCCACTAGGAAAGACAAAGTTGGAAAATGTTGTAAGCAACGGAGCGAGAAGAAGGTTCCGGTTCAGGGATGGACAAGTGGTAACAATGAGTTCATTGGCTCATGGATTGAGCATGTGCCTGCTCTGTTGCAGGGCTCAGTCGTCGACTATTGGTTTCAGAAAGAGAAGCGATCAACACTACCGTTATTATTCAAAACTAATGGCTGCACCCATGATTGTCCAATCATGTTGTCGTCTTTGCAAGATCACAGATATTTGGCTAGGAAGCTCAAGTTGTCCTGCACGTTCAAACCCTAAAGGATTTCCAGTTGCTTGTACTACCTTGATGTACATAATAAAGTTCAACAGATGGCGAAACGACCAAAACAAAAGTTGTGGATCTCTGAAAGTTATGCAACTTTATAGTTGACAACTTTTTCATTTGAAATCATTTATGCATGGAAAATCTACGTTTGAAATTCTCACATTTTAAATTTGAATTTTTCAAACAACATCAGATGGAGAAACGACCAAAACCAAAGTTGTGTATCTCAAAAGGTTATGCAACTATGTAGTTGACAACCTTTTCATTTGAAATCATCTATACAGGGAAAATCTACGTTTGAATTTCTCACATTTGAAATTCAAATATTTCAAACGACCTCGGATGGAGAAAGAACCAAAACAAAAGTTGTAGATCTCAAAAAAGTTATGAAACTTTGTAGTTGACAACTTTTTTATTTGAATTTGTTTAGAATCCAGAATACTTATGTGAAAATCAGATGAAGATAAAATATGGAGGACGGTAATCCCAAATAGATACAAGTGTGTCATGTTTGGAGTGGTTAGGGGGTGAACATGCAAGGTCTGAGGTCGCGCACGTTTTTCACGCGAATAGTTGCTGGAATTGCTACAGTGCACGTGTGGCTGTCAGGTCTCCCGAGATTGAGTTTTTTTTCTATTTATTGGGCCCAAATTTCTTATTTATGGACAATAATTTCTAGAGGCATCTCAAAATACAGCAAATCAATTTCTAGAGGTGGCTGGAGAACCGTCTCAATAAATCGTTCATTTGTAGAGACGAAAGAGCAAAGGCGGCTGGGCCAACCGCCTCTATAGAGGCATCGGCCGCCTTTGAAGAGATTTTCTAAAGTAGTGACAAATAATAAATAGTTAAAATCATATATTTAACTGACAACTATAGCACAGGCGTTATATGACTCATGTAATAGTGATATTTTGAATATCATAGTGGTAGTATATTTTTTGGGTAACAACACGACACATGTACATACTTATATTCTACGTTTATTAGTCCACCGTCGACTAGATTGCTCGGTCCTGATCGCGATTTTGTTTGTGCTGTGATATGATCCGTACATCAGCCTCACTGCTACTTTGCCTTTACATCAGTTATTAATTGTCTTTTCCCTATATTCAAAGTCCTCCTGTGTTGTTATCAATCTTGATAAATTTCCACGATGTCCCTCTCGTAAATGTAGTACCTCTCAATATGTATGGTCACAACTGGCCGGCTGGGCAGGATAGATTCCCCAACTCTTGTTTCTGAGTTGCTGTGGTGTCAACTTTCTGAGACCCTACAGCTAGTGCAAGTGTTCAACCACGCGAGGTTTTGATTGCTCTCTGCACTTGCAGTTTACAGGATCAATCATAGATTTTAGACTGATGAACAGGGACAATCTGACTCATATATGTATGCAATATTTTGCTTTCTTTCCGTGCATGCAGGACAACGGATTCTACAGGTTGCTTTGATCAGTCTTAATGGCAGCAGAGATGGTCGGTTCTGCGGTGGCCCAGGAGGCTGTTAATGAAGTCTTATCAAGAATCAAAGAGGGTTATGCCGAGAAGTCAGATGCAAAGGAGCACATAGAGAGGATGGAGATGGCGCACATCAAGCTAGAAGCCGCCCTTGAGGCATCCAATAAGTGGAACATCACTAGCCCGCCACTACTGCGCTGGAGGAGCAAGCTCAAGCGTGCCACACAGGAGTGCGACCACACTTTGCGCCGGTGCAGGCAGCGATTGCAAGAAGAGGAAGAAGTGAAACAAGGGCTACAGAGCTCCTCCTTTCCTAAGAGGGTCTCTCATACTGCCATGTCATTTGTTTCGTCAATGTTTAGCAGCGGTAGCGACGACAAGCTAAGAGGATCCACTGCCGTCCGGCGATTTGAGCGGTTTGCTGATGGTGCCAGCGAGTTCTTGAGGTACGTGGAGCTTGGTGGCACACCATGCAGATACATGTTCTCTGTGCCTCTTATACGCCATCTTCTCGCTCGCAAAGGAACAAAGGATTGCTTTGTTCGTGGGGGCCAACATCTCTCACTTACTCTACAGCCCTTTAGTCTACCCAACCATGGGATGGGGGCGAGCTTGGTATTCTTACTTGAAGATGGCAATACGCCAGAGAATAATTTCCTTCTTGCCCTCAGCTTACAGCTCTCTGAGAGTACTGACATAGTTGGGGTTGTAGTCAGATGCCTGCAGCTGTACAAACCGTACTTGAGCTTCATAGCCGAGACTGTAAAGACAAAGCTGACCCAGATACCAATGCAAGACTTGTGTTGGGTGTTTGATGCTTATTCAGGTTATGGCTGTGATGAACAACAGAACAGTCTTGAAACCATGTGTTCTAAATGGTATCGACCAAACCCATTTTGCTGTCAACAACTAGAACATCTCCATGCCCAGAGCTCCTTTTCAAAATCATTGACATGTGATATATACATGGAAACAGTTATCCAAGTGTATTTGCTAGGACATGTTGCACTGTCAGTTGGGAACAATAGGCAGAGCGCAGTCATCGATGGCGAAAGCCAAACAAGCCCCACGAGAGACTTTCCATATCTGAAACTTGGAGCACACTTCGCCCCTCATGCCTCTTTTGAAGATTTGTCACCTACTGTTGGGGGTTCAGTGTCAGAGATAATCAACGATGGAGCCAAACATTGTGCCATGTATGCAAACATTTCCTTTGAACAGCTGGGCGAGATCACGATGCCAAAAGCAGTAGATTGCCTTAGTAGGAATCTGGAAGCTACCTCATATCAGATGTCGTGGAAGTCCAAGCATGGAAGCGCGTACCTTCGGGTCGAGAAGACCTCATGGAGAGCAACTACTAGGAAGGACAAAGTTGGAAAACGCTGTAAGCAACGGCCGGACAAGAAGGTTCCAGCTCAGGGATGGACAGGTGCTAACAGTGAGTTCATTGTTAGCTCGTGGGATGCGCACACGTCTGCCCAGTTGCAGGGCTCGATCGTTGACAGTTGGATTCAGAAACAAAAGCGATCCATACTACCGTTATTGAAAACTAATTCTTGCGTCCATGATTGTCCAATCATGATGTTGTTTTTGCAATATTACAGTTATTGGGCAAGGAAGCTCAAGATGTCCAGCACGTTAAACCCCTGAAGGATTTCCACTTGTTTGTACTACCTTGATGTACACAAAAAGTTCAACTGTTGGTGTGTGTTGCAAATATAAAATTATCTAGGTTTCACCTATAAATGTAATACGTACTCTATTCCAAATTATAAGGCATTTTCGAATTTCTAAATACATTGTTTTTACTATATATCTAGACATAGTGTGTCATAACATTCCTCGGTCTTTTAACGCTCGTGGGCTACGTTCGTTACCGATGTGTGGCCGGTTTCTCGTGGGGCCGATCCACACATGTAAGTAATGTGAGCATACACGACAAAGCGTACGGAGGGTTTCATGAGAGCCTATGTTGATCGTCTGATTCAAACATGGGCGAAGGATCTGCAAAGTATTGAAGTTGAGAGTACGAAGTTTATTCATAGTATGCTACTATAAAGTTTTAAATTATTAGTAAAAAGTTTTTTTAATTCACGTACTAGCCGATGATAACCAGGGAAAATATAAGATATGCGTGCAAATGGGTAAATGGGCCTACAACACCTGGGTCAGATGTGTAAAAGCGTGATCGGCCTGTGCGCTAGTAACTGAAACAGCCAACGTCCATTGGTTTCTGTCTACGTGCGAGCGACCAAGTCAACCGCTCCTCGTGGCATGGCAATGCTCTACAGTCTGGAAATGCAAACTCTAACAGACGATGGTCGCACGGTTGCAACACCATGCGACCATCATGCCAGCGCTGGTGGCGCCGCATCCGTCGACGGCGAGTTAGGGTTTGGCCATCTTCCCCGGCTCTAGTTCTCTGGCGGCAGGTTGGCCTGGCGGTGGGTTGTCGTGGGTAGGCGGTGCTGCGAGATCGTGGAGCGCTACCGGCCTTGGTTGTAGAGGCGGCAGTTTGGGGGGGACAGGTGCGAGGGAGTCTCGTCAGTGACGAGTTGATGGAGGCGGCGAGAGGTTGGGCTTGACGGGCAGGGGCGGAGGGCGGGTGGTGCAGCGAGGCAGCAAGTCGCTGGCAGCCGTGGGCAGTGGTGAGAGGCGGCAGAGGGCGGGGTCGCGCACTCACGTGGGAGCGAGACCCGTTGTGCAATAACTCTGTCCTTCCGGAAATATCTCGCAGTTCTAGAAAGCCTCCATGCTCTTCGGTCTTCTCTTTTGAGTCTTCCTCACCCACAAGGCAGCGCCGTGGTTGCTTCCTTCCTCCCTCCCATCTCTCATGGTCACGGTAGCTTCCGCACAACGTTGCGCCTTACCATTATAAATCGCACACCAGTGGTGGAGTCAGAGCTATTAGGAAGAGGGCGGCAAATGAAGGTTTAGATCAGATATTCCTCAAATGAAGGACTACACTGCACTCACTACGAATCAATCTTCAATGGCATATGTATTATTTAGGACTCTTTTTGTTATATTTCTGATTTTCTTTGTTTTTACTATTATCATGATTTATTTCTAGTTCAAGAATTAGATTAATTGGATGAAGGCTAGAGACCTAAGGAAAATTAATTAATTTTGTTCCCCTTTTTTTGTTAAGTTTTTCAGCTGTCTTTTGTATCATAACACAAATGTTTATTTAATTGTTGTCTATATTCTTTCCATGCATGCATTTCATTATGTATGATTATTGTTGTCAGCTTAAAGACCCTCCCTATGCCCAAATTGGGGCCCCGGCCCTGCTTGTCGTGGACTCGTGGTAACCTACCCGTGACACTGGTATGCATGCCGTCGGGTTCGGGTTCTGCTTTTTGCTCCAAGCTTTCCAGCCAAGATTTCTACGTTTACTCACCGTCGACTTTGACTCCGGTTGGTCTTACGGACGAATAATTCTGGCCCATGTCTGACGCGTTCCTAGAGGTGTCTATATATCAATAAATTCTGGCGGTCTCCAAGATGTGATACATACGTCGACCTCAGTGCTT